CCCCCCCCCCCCCGTCTTTTAAAGTATCTCCTGGGCCACAGTGAAGTCAATGAGCCATCAGCCTTACAGCATTATGACCTCAACTCCATTGTGAGAAAAAACATCCACCTCAAGGAAATCTTATAGAGTCCAGAAAGAAATCTGAGATTTGCAAGGGGGTAGGGGGAGAAGAGAAGGATGGAATTAAATTCAGCAAGTTTAACCCTGCTTCTTGTTTCAGAGCAACAATATGAATGGAAATATTCATTTGGAATCTATTCACGAGCTAACTATAGATGTGATAATATCAAGAGATCGTATCGACATAATTGTGGCCAAGAGAATCTGTGATTGCCATTCCTGGAAAATGATGTCAAACTCATTTCAGAGGGGAACAATAAATTACATAACTATGGAGTGGTCTCTAAGGGAATCATACATGTAAAAATGAAACAAGGAAGATCAGAGGACAAATATTTGGATAAATGTTGGGAACTACCTTCATCCTTTGATCTAACACAAACATTTAACATACTGTAATTTTACAATGAGTCAGATCGGTATGTAATAACAATTTGCAAAATTATTCCATTTATAACCAAAGGTCATAAATAAGAACAAAACTCCTATAAAGTTCAAACGTGAACAAAGAACCATCAGCAGGATAATTGGCAAGCTCTAAATGCCCGTGGCTACACATACCTCATTTTAGTTTCCCAAATATTCTCAAAACAGATCAATATGTGGAGGCTCAGATATTCTTAAGATGTTCAATAGGGAAAGGCTGACTACTGAGAACCACCGATCTGTTCCCCAACATGCACCTGAGGGACGTTGCTCCCGGAGTTAGAAATGGCATCTTTCAGGGAAAAAAATGCATCACACCGAAACTGGGATCAGAAGGTGAAAAAGCATTCACGAGGGACTCTAAAGCTGAACAAGTAGAGCACCGAACACCAAGATCCAGACGTGGATGATCACGGGTCAAAAGAACGCAGGGAACGTGCAGTCATTTCTACTTGGACACATTCCAGAAGCCACGTGGCTCAAAGGTCATTAATATCAATATCACATGTGTCTTTCTCCCCCCCCCCCTCCCCATTTCTGTTTTCACAATTGCCCTTTGAAGTGATTGATATTGGCTGGGTTCATTCCATATCCCTAACCATGTTGTTGCATTAACTCTTTTTCAGGGTTTGCATAATACAGTGAATTATGAACTCACCAAACTGGCTGGATTCATACAGTACACCAAGCAGCCCCCTATCAAAAACCCTAACAAAGGTTCACACCAATCAAGCATAGCATTTGGTCTGAATGTAGCTGCAACGTCTTTTACGGGTTAAGTGGATGCCTTTGTCAGTTACCCATGCAGAGGGAGATGTCTGCTCCCTCTGGGAACATGGGCATTACAAAGATGCTATCTCAGGTTCTGTAACATGACATACGTGCTGAACCCCATGGGCTGCATCTGTGGCCCTTTTGGAAGGATTAGAAGCACCCCCAGGATTTGGGAAACTCACAGGATATCAGATGGCCTTCTTGAGCTGGTACCTGAAGATGTATTGGAAGATCCTGCTGGAGGTTCTCAAGCCACCTGGAAGATCCTGGATTTCACGTGACAGAACCAGGCTGCTGTACAAATGTTCTCATCATTTGCCTTAAAAAAAAAAAAATTATATGGCCCCCATCTTAAACAACTTTATGGCTCATAACAACCATAAAACCAGTAACTATAAAACGATCATAAAAACAATAAAACAATAAAACAAAAACCCTGTGCCTTCATCGTCCTCTTGGGATGCCCCACAGCAAGGTCCAGTTGCCCTTATACCATACTTTCTATCTATAACAGGGTTTCTCAACCTTGGCAACTTTAAGATGTGTGGACTCCAACTCCCAGAATTCCCCAGCCAGCCTTGCT